TCTTTCGGTTTTTCCCAAACAATAATTCACAATTTAGTTGTTATTACAGTACTTACTGGTGTTGCTGGTTCTTTCTTCTTCGCCTCTATCTTCGGTATCGCTGTACCATTTTCCAAATGCTTTTGCGTGATTTTTCGCTTCAGTCCCTTCTTAATCAGGTCACCAGCTCCATCACAACCATCCATTTCTAGACTTCTGTCTTTTGTTATCAAACCAGTGAGGAACGACGACTAAAGACAGAAAAAAAAAAGATACATTTGAAGAACAATCTAACGATAGTAAAAATCTCCTTGCAAGCGAACGGTGAAGTTAGTGGACCGTATACCATAGACGCCAAATACACAATGGTTCGATGACAGGGTCCAGGCGTATCCCTTTAAAATTTATACTTTTCCTAAAATTTACAGGTAGGACAATTCTTAGAATTTGCCACGTCTTGAAAACAATTTTCTGCCCACACAAGCTGAGTTGAGCCTAATTATTGTTACAGGTGAATGACTATCAATCGTCCGTACCAAATTTTTCCTGTCTGCACTACAACCAAGATGAGCTGTGGGGACAAGGTTACAATGCGAGCTAAACTAGTTAATTTACGCACCACGATCAATTCGAAAATGACAGCATTACCAATATGAAACGTTCTCAACAATCATTTCTTAACTTTCAATACCGTACTGTTTTTCTTCTAGCAGTCTACCATTGCGAGGGGGACAGTTTTGGGAAGTTTCTTACACCCAAAATGTCTTCCGAATGGTCTTCATGACGATAGACTCTGAACTTTTAAAAAACGTTCGTGTTGTACTTACTTCTTTGCCAGAGTCGTGACTAAAGGCTGCTGACATGAGGGGATTAAAACAACGTTGTTGAAATCTACCGTCGCAAGCAGAAAACATTGCTGCGTTTAAATTTTGCCAAACGTTTTCGTTTTGCATCGCGAGTAAGTTGGTGTTTCTTACGATGATCCCGGGACGAACTTTTTATACATCTTTGAACGAGGGAAACTCCCACATTTTGACAATAACAAATCTATTTTAAGCACCAAGATATGGGAATGTATGTAAATACTGTTTTTCTTTTGTTTTCGCTCTTCTCCGAAGGCGCAATGATTCCTGGAAAGAGCTGCATTTATAATGAGTACTTCCGTTAACTTTTGGAAAGTCACGCAATCGCCCAGCTAAGCCAAAAAGTTCTCAAGCGTTCGAAAAAGCAACTAAATTAAAATCTTGCTGAGTGAGGGTAAGAAATAACATATAATTTAACGAAGTACAAAATAAACCTAAGTTACGAGTGTTAGTGTTTTTGATCACATCAAAGTATGACTCTTCATAAAAAAATTATGTAATGGCAAACCACACCGTCAGATTTCTCACCTTTGATGAAACGAATCCGGAATCGGAGCCAAACTATGGTATCATCAACTGCAGAAGTTCACGAGACTTCACATACAGCGCTCAGAATTTCACTGCGTAGTAGAGCAAGCTTCAGCAAGACTCCAGAGTGGACTTTAGCCTAAACGGAATAAAGTGTGGCATATAATACTGAACCAGGCACGGGACTAAACAGGAACAATAAACCGGTAATCATAAGACTATCACGAGGAGCAACCAAATTCCCAGATAGAACGGTTTTGTCTTTAGGGCGTTTCTTAAAACCTTCTTTGTTATTTTCCTCAAACCAAGATGTGTATTGTTTAACTTTTGGGCTTGCCCACTAAGAATTCGGTAAGATGTACGTAATTATGCCTCGCCTAAAGAAGTAGTTTCTCAGAAAACGCGCTCGTGAAAACAAACAATTTGACATACGTTTTTCGCAGCTTTGATGCGCTGACTGTTCTACAAGAGGTCGGATTATATACAGTTTTGCTCGCGAATGAACATTATCTCTAAGTGCAATATTCTGCAGATGTAACTGATTCACAAGGCGGTTGGAAATGTTTTCCAGTGAGACTAACTGACCTTACTGAATACTAGCAAACGATCTGATCGGTTTTTGCGTCACTCCGAATAAAACAGAAGGTTTTGCACCTTTCACAGTATGATTAGTGGGTAGGCTGTAGGAATCAATTTAAACACAGAAAAGGAATTTCAAGCTCGCTTATTTCACCTAAATTGAGTATTGCGCGCTTTATATATCCCACTGTGATGAAGTAATTACTTAAATACTGAAAGTCACTGCAGTTATTGCATGTTTGATGTTAAGACATGATTTACCTCTCCTAGCCTGAAAGGCACAAGGAGGGTGATAAATTGAGAGACAGGAGAGTTGTGGGTGAAGCTTCGGTGGCAGCGTTTGTTCGCAAAACAAAACTTTTACCTCCGGGAAAACACAGAAGACATTTCGTCTCGCTAAGTGAACCTAAGTGGTTTCTTGCACATATACACATGAAGAATCAGATCATCATTTATTTCAGAACAGAACATGTACCGCCCTCAAATTAAAGCGAGTTAAAGTTCAAACACGGATCGAGTCAATTTTGAGACATTTCGTTCTTAACTGTGTGGTTAATTTACTATTTGAACAGTGTTCGCTGATTTCGGAGAAATGCACGTCACGACATCAAGCGTTAAAATTCTGCGAAACTGGGTGTAACAGGACAAACATAACTATTTTCGCGTCAAACATCGTGAAACGCTCCCATTAAACACATAAAAAACCATAGGTTGGAAAGAAAAACTAACTAATCGAGAATTCTTTTATCATCGTTTACCAGGAATGAAAATCAATTCACGAGTTAGCGGAAAATTGCTTTCCCGCTCGAAAAATTCAATTTCCGGTCTAGATAAGAAATGTGCTACTTCTTCGATATTTACTCCATTTTGTTACTAATGAAACCACTTCAATCACCTTGAATTAAAGCTCAATAATTCAAAGCAAGGAACTAACAAAAGCTGAAGGAACATCAAAGACGGTTGTCGTAAATACGTAATTAATTCCGCACGCAAGGGCTCAGGATAACACAAGCAATTACAAGTTCTTGTCTTCTCTGCGTGATTTGCAAAAGAAATTTTTTAAAGTAATGCCATTTATTTGCATTTTAAGACGGAGATTCATAGACGATGTGCGCAACAGAGCTCAATTCGTGAGATATACGGCGTGTAAATTATGTTAAATTCTTGTTCCCGTTTAGTCGAGAAGCCCTCTTGTCACGCAATCCTGTTGTATTCCAGGTGAAGTTCCGGGACTTCACTGGTTTATTTTGCACCGGAAGTCCGGCCTCATCATTAGAAACAAAACAATTCTGCTCGAAGCACAGTTAATACAGATTTTTTTAGGTTTCGTATCTTGCTTTATCACGAATAAAGGTATCTGCGAGCTGCATATGACAAAATAAAAACTATCGTCCTCTTCGAAGTCGATTTTCTCTGTTGCGAAATTCTTACGAAGCTGAATATTTGTTTTGTAGTCCAATCTGTGGATCTCTATTTTCCCTTGGAGCGTTGAACATGTTTCAGAGATTTTTCTTCGCCAAAGAAATCTTCAATTGTATATTGGGTTGGAACTGTTCTTCATCTTGGAATGTAATCTTCGTGGCGACAGGATTAAAGCAAGAGGAATTTTCCAGTTTTTAACAATTCAGGCAGACTTTCGTGCGTCATTTGGTTCTTTCAACTAGGTCGAAATAGTAAATTGACCACCATAAAGAGTTAAAAAGCTGACGTTTCATAATGACGGAATCCAAAAAACGTGGTTGTGTAAATTCGATAAATTTCGATAATTTGAGCCTTCGCTCCGGACTAAAAAACTGATATCTTACAGTACTCCTTCAATTCAAGATATAATATTTTACCCCCGGGAACTCCAGCCTCCCGACAGAACCCCTGCTCAAAGCTTTTCCTTCCATGAAATGAAGCTAAATGCACACGACCTGTTACACTCGGAGAAAAAAAATGACTTTCCCCAAAGGAACAAAATGTTTCCTTGACTCCCGTTATTCTTTAAAAATGGTCAAATATGTGCTAAACTTGAGCAATAAAGGACTTTTTACCATGTTTCCATGGCACACGGAGGGTGGGGGAGAATTCGAGAATATTTTTGTGTCAGTTGGAGAAATTTCAAGAATTCGCCCTAGCTCCCTGGTGTTACGATGAGGCTATGGAAACCTGGAAGAATGTCCTTTATTGCATTTGTAAAATATTCATCAACAAGGAAGAATGTGTGATATCACAACCGTGTCTGCATACACTCATCTAAAACTCACCTATTGACTAATGAGAGCATGCATACCATCTCAAATATTTTATGAAAGTGAGGGGTACTTTTCGTCCGTGTTAATGGCGCACAAAAATGACTTCAGACTGTTTTTTTTTTCTCACTTTAAATTACAAATTAACACAGATAGACTTAATAATTTCAAAATGGCAACAAAGTGTAAATTGCTCGCCTGCATTGTATGCTACAAAGTTAATTTACTGCACTCTGTCCAACACTGTGTTAAGTATGAAACATCTTATGTTTTACAGCATTTGAGGTAACATCTGGTTAAGAAGTGGAATGGCAGGTTTGAACAAAAATCTCAAAATTGGCAAATATTAATTTTTTGTCATTTTTTAACAATGAAAAGTACTAGTAGCTTACTGCTGTAAGCAGAAATATCTAAAGTTATTGGTTGACTGTTGGAGACATCAATTCTTTAATAAACAGTTTTTCTCACGATAAAACTTGTTTTTCACACATTTCATTGAGTCTAGGGATAGCTTGGCCTTGATGTTGTGCTTTTCTCAACAGTGGTTTCCTGATTTTTTAACTCTGTTTTGTTCATTTCTTGGCAATCTCGTGGTCACCACATCTTGGCTTTTAAAATATACTCATGTCTCCCATGGGAGAGAAAATGAAGACCAGTAACAATAACATAAGAGTGCTAGCGATGTATGTTTTACTTTGCAAAGGAATTGTTTTTCTTAATAAGCCAACAACTCTTGCTGCAGTTTTAAGGCTTCTTCTTTCCATTTCCATCTCTCTTGATCTAAAATCCAAGCCCCAAATTCCACAGTGATGACAGCATTAGATACTTGCCACGCTCCCGTTGTTTGAGGATTGGATAACACTATCCACTAAATAAATTTTTATCCAGTGGATAGGGCAGTGCATTTTGCCATCACTTCTCAGCTAGATAGCAATTTATCTGTTACTTAGTGTAATCTGCTCTTTAAACAACTGGCCCCTCCATTTCTTGGAATGAGAGGGGTTGAATGACACAAATGGCTGACCAAGGGGTACACAAACATCTCAAGTTTGACTTCCTTGTAGGCACAAAGCTCATATCCTGTGACGATAATCAAGCAGGCTCAGTGCATGGTTGGTGCATCAGAAATGACAGTAGCACCATATTTGTCCCACAGTTCCATTGCTTTGTCGACTATCCACTCAAAGTTGTCTTCAGGGACAGGCTGTACACAAGCACCATAAAATACATAAATAAAAGTACTGGTAATTAGACAAAAATCAGCAGTTTTTTTTTTTTTAATGAATTGAACCCTTTATACCCTAACATCATTATGCAAATTGTCCATACTAGTGTTCTCCATACCTAGCTAATGGTGCTGACAAGGAGAATTTGTTTGACAGTCAAGAGCTTGTTTAGTTGGTGATCATTTCCTTAAGTTTATTCTTGTGACCTTAACATGTGATTTGGGGGTTATATTGAATGGAGAAATTACATGCTGGTCAGGTTAAAAAGTATGGTAATCCAAAAACTGCCATGACAAGAATTTCACTATGGTGTGAGGGTAGTGAAGTACTCTGTCCTTAATATATCCTACCTTGCATAGGAACCTCTCAACAGCCTGGGTAGATTTTTCCATAAGGAGTGGTTTTCTTAAGTCCATCAGAAGACTGACAGCTACAAAAACAAGAATCTTACTAGATCCACTCACTACTTTGTCCCATATCCTACACAAGAAAAATAACCAAATTAAAAAAATAAACTTAATTTAAGTACTTATATTGGAGGGGCGGATCCAGACCTTGAGCTAAGATAGGGCCCTGTAATTGTGTGTACACCTGCTGGCTTTTCTGCCTTCTGCAATTTTTTTTTTACCCAAAATAAGGAGGGGGCAGGCTCCCCCGGCCCCTCCCCTAGATCCACCAGTGCACTGTACCCCTAAACTCCACCCAAAAGCTGTCAAGTTCCTTGACAGTCTGGACATGTGCTTGAATTTGAAATTGAATGATTTAGCTTTGGTATGATGGTGAAGATCATCTAGGCTAAGATTCATGTTACCTACCAAAGCTGACGACTAACAAGGGTAATACAAAGCCAAGCTTTGGTGATTCTTATTGAAAACAACTGAGTCCAAGACTGAATTTTTTCTTTTTTTTCTTTTTAACCCTTTAACTCCCATAAGGGACCAAGACAATTTCTCCTTACAATGTTAACACAACATTGTGCAAACAAGTAGTGAGAATCAAGAAAAATTATCAATGAGGGGATTAGTGGTTGATCGAATACCAAATACTTAACAACTATTCACCAAAGTGGAGGTGGTTAGTGGTGGATATTTACCGAACCGTGAAGCAGCAAGGTAAATATCCACTGCTAACCACCGACACTGTGGTGAATAGTTGTTTTAGCATATACTAATTAATAGTGAGATAATATACATTAATTTGTTAATTTGAGTGATTTCTTCAGTTGTCACAGATGCAAACCGGGACACCATTTTTTCCCGAGTTGCTCGGAGGTAAATAGCAAAAGATATTCCGAGTTTGACTAACCAATCAGAGCATGCCTTCAACACTATCCACTGTTTTAGTATATACTAATCCATGATAACTATAGAGCAGATGGTAACAAGAATTACGAATGAGATCTTGGAAGTGAAAGGTGCAAGGTTAAAAACTAACCTCACCACAATGATGTATTTTCTTAGTGTCGATGACTACTGTCAGGAGGTTAATAACAAAACCAAACAGTGCCAACACAAATAAGCTACTAGCTTAGTCTTATAGCCAATTAGAAATGGGGTTACTCTGCCTAATGAAATGGAAGTTAAAATATAGTGACAACGAATGCAGTTATAAAATCTGTATGCAAAATGATAAAAAGAGGAAAGTACAAAATAACCTTTCCATGCTTGTATCTGAAATATCCTCAGCAAAGCCACTTTCAAACCACCTTTATCAAAATCAAAAGTACAACACATAAGAAAACATTGGAAAAACCAGTTTACCCTATTGAAATTAAAACACCATAGCCATACGTTTTAAAACTCTCAAAGAGATACCTTAATGATAAATAGGGGTGTGACAGTCAGAAATTTAACAAATCTGACCAGTGCAATGAAATGAAATTTGTTCTAACTTTTAAATTAGACAAGGAGTAGGGCTAGAAAAGTTGTTCCTAAAATTTCTAATTTTTAACTACCTCTTGTATGGCAAGACATCAAAGGCTCCAATATTTGATAAGTGTTTATGAAGCTGGATATCTTCAGCTTGAAGGTAATATTGAATCAAATTTGCCTTGAAAAACAATAATATCAATGATACTAATAAAGAACATCACAGCCCTAATTCCAAATGAGAAACAAATTATAGCTTAATCAAGCACATACACAGCAGCTCAAACTAACACCAATTTTCAAATAAAAAAAGCTGTAAGCTAGAACAAGAGATTTTAGTGCAGAAAAGAATCTTTTGAGATTCCTACAAAATCTTTGGTTGCAAAGGTTCTACTGTGTATTTATAACAACATTAAACATTTTTGAAAAAATGATTTACTAGATAACTGGAATTAAAGTAACAGAAATATAATTCATAACTCAAAACAACACTCAAATCATCATGTGGCTGTGAAAAAGATACTGAAAAAAAAGATTGGTATTAATTTTCACTGTTAAAAAAAAATTGTATTAATAGCTTTTTAAAAACAGTAGCAGACCACTACAGGATGCTGTGTTACCAATTTCTCTAGCTGTAGTCCCGACTGGTCCAAACACTTCATGAACTTTGCAGACAACCAGTAAAGATCGACTTCATCTTCAAACATTTCACTAAACACTTGCACTACAGATCTCATTGCTTCTGCTTTTCTTTCAAGATTCTAATGGGGGCACAAAATGAAACTATTAACTAAACTTGTGTGTTTTCATTTTATTCCAAATTTTAGTTGGAGAGAACTGCTTACACTGCAGTCCACCAATTGAAATGCTAGAAATTGTTTAGGATCCTTGGCCCACAAATCTTGGTCCATCCTTAACCCTCTAGCCCCCCATGAGTGACCAAGACAGAATTTCTCCTGATAATATCAATTGAAATTGAATACAATATCAAGCAGAAAAGTGATGAGATTAAAGGGAAAAAAATATCAAATAGGGGATTATTAGTTGATCCAATACCAAATTCTCTAAACCATCATCACAAGACTGAATTGTATGGAGAATTACTAAATTAAATTGAGATCTTGAGAGTGAAAAGGTTAGTTCTTTCAATGCCAAGATCCAATTAGTAATTAACAACTATTCACCGAAGTGGAGGTGGTTAGTGGTGGATATTTACCGAGCTGCAAAGCAGCGAGGTAAATATCCACTGCTAACCACCAACACTGAGGTGAATAGTTGTTTTAGTATATACTAAAACAGTGAGATAATATACACCACTGTCGTTAATTTGAGTGATTTCTTTGCTTGTCATGGATGCAAACCGGGACACCATTTTTTCCCAAGTTGCTCAGAGGTAAATAGCAAAGGATATTTGGAGTTTGACAAACCAATCAGAGCGCCCTTTCAATGCTATCCACTGTTTTAGTATATACTAATTCTCCTTATCTGCCACCATACTCTTCCTTGGAAATTAGACAGGAGAATTTTATCACATTCCAAGATAACACCTTCTGGCTAATAAGTGATAAACTTGTCTGTTCTTATAACCTGTGTACAACATAACCTATTCGAATTACAAGGTGGAGTAACATGTTGATCACTTCTGGGATTTGAAGAGTTAATGCAATATTGATCAAGGTAAAATAGCTACAACTTGAAATAATGCATCTTAAAGGCATATTTACACCATACATTGTGGACCACGGACAGAAAGAGAGAGTCCTAGTTAAACAACTGGCAAGTCACTGCTTTGTTGTTTACTCAGCATTTCAAAACTACAAAATAACTACAAATCAAATACCTAATGTTCTATTTTACCTTTGGTACTTTTACAAATCGAAAAGCTCCCTCATCCAACAAATAGATCATTGACATTTGGTAAGGCAATTCATTTCCATCTGAAATTTTCCTTATAACTCTCAAAACATGCTGAAGG